AGAGGAGGAGGAGGAGGAGGAGGAGGAGGCAGGAGGAGGAGGAGGAGGAAGGAGGAGGAGGAGGAGAAAAGAGGAGACTATGGGAAGTCAAAATGAAATATTGAGAATTTAAAAATAGATGAGTGATGTTGAGGCTGGTGAAAGTAACATCCATACAAAATTAAAAGAGAGGGGCAGAAAGGAGCTGGGAAAAGTAAGAGGTGTTGTTTTGTTTACTACATTTGCCTCTTCTTAAAGACAATTACAGGAGGAGAAGTGTCTTGAAAGATAACAGTCTACTCCAGTGTTCTCTGTCATGTGTACCTTCGGTACCATTAAAGTGTAACCAACCAGCAAAACACATTTAATACTCTGGGTTTGGCAAAGAGACAGTACAGCATATTACAGGGAAATATACTGAATTGTGTGCTTGCTTTTCTGTTTCTCAGCTCTGCTTGATTCATTCAGTTCAGCTCACAAAGATATGATTCTTGTTTTATCCATCAAGGACATTACTACACTTCATCTGGGATTGTTCGTCACAGCCCTTTCTCCTAGTCTATTTTAGCTAGGTCACAGCATTTTGTCTTCTGATTCCCAAGGAAGCCAAGGATTTCATTACTCAGTTCTTTAGACCTTCAATTGGAATCCACTCTATTCATACACCACATATCCCCAGTGGTGATCTCTAACTACCTAGTGGGGCTCAATGGCATCTCCATGTACAGGTTCCTCTCTCCCCTGAAAACACCCAAGACAGATGGGATGGGCAGCCTCTTTGCTGTTCTTCACCCTTCTGAACTTGGGAATCTTGTTCATCTCCCTCATCCAAGTATGGATGTTCTTTACTATGTTCTAGTCACCAAAAACAAAAAGTACTCTTAGGAAAAATAATACATTGTTTAATTTTTCACATATTCCTTACCTTGCAAAGATTTCATTTTACAAAGCTGTGATCACACTGTGGCTTATGTTTACAGATATATTATATGTAATTATTCAAATACAATATGTTATATGTAATATATTAGAAATGTTTCTCCATCCGACTAAACAATTTTTTTCTGAAATGAATTGAAGGATGCACTATCATTCTATGCTATAGAAATGTCACTCTGTAGACATTCTTTTAACTCTAGCCTACAAGATGGTGCCAATGATTAAGTACACAAGACTGGTTCACAAAAGTGGCCCTGAGTCAAAGTGCCTAGATGAATGTAATTTTATTGCTACAAATTAGTTCTCTGGAAAAGTTCAAAGATCTCCTAGCCTTTCTCCATTATTTCATACATGGATATTCTATAATCTTGGTAGGCTGTATACCCTTTAAGGGTAATACTTAAGCCACTTTTGCATTCTGCTTCCCAAATTGGGACAACAAAATGATTTTGGTATACGTGATTTGAACATTTGTGAAAAGTATTAAGAAAATAAAACTAGCACACGCAATCTTTGATATCATTAGTATTATTGCTTAGAATAAGTAAAATATATTTAAATTATGTCAGCTGAAAAATTGGCAACAGATAATTCTTGTAACTGACCTAAATTATGAAAAAGGTCTGTGAATAATTATTTGAGCAACAGGGCAATGATCTTCACTCAGAATGCATTCATTTTCTTTAAAATTAACACTTATAATCCAGAACCTCTTTAAGACCCTGGTATCTAAGTGCTACTTAGAGCTTTAAATGATGAAGTAAAATATTATAACAGCATAATTCCACAAGCACCAGACTACAAGATAGAATTTCTCGATATGTCATTGATGGACCATCTGCTTTCCTGATCCTGAATCATAATTTTGTTAGCAGTACAGACCCCGGGCTCTAATCAGATGATTTTGAAACATATTAACTTCTGAGAACTGCCTAGAGGAAGAAAGAATTAAAGTTGTGAGAACTTGAGACCTCTTAGTAGAAACAAAATTCCTGGAACCAGGGCCAATCTTTACAAAACTGTTACCAGAAATTATAACAATACCACTGGCTAAGATAATATCCAACAGACCACAAATG